GTGGTCTGTGCTGCCCAGCTTCCACAGTGCGATGGCGACCCTCTTGTCGACGGGGATGGGTGCCCACAGCCGGGGGGTGGCTCTCTGGAGCGCAGGGGTGAGCCAGGCGCACAGCTCCAGGAACGTCCGCTTTCGCATGAGGAAATTCCGGAGCCATTGCTGGTCGCCCCATTGCCCCAGGACCAGCCGGTCCCACCAGTCCGTACTGGTGTCTAGTCTCCACAGTGGCCTCTCCACGCTGGGGTGGGGATGCCACAGGGACACCATGGCCTCCGTGGTGAGGGAGTCCAAAGCGACCTGCGCCTCCATGTCCTGGAACAGGAGGACAGCAGCTTGGAGCAGCAGCTGCAGGCACTCCAAAATGGCCGGAAGGGGCCAGAGCAGGCACATGGCCACCCCTGGTTCCGTGGCAGATAAAACAAGGGAGATAAAAAAAAAACAACAGGCAAAGGCACTAAGTGGCAAAAGGCAGTGGTGACCAAAAAGGCAGAGGGCAACCACCAGAACTGCTATGGCTGTCAGTCCCTGTAAGAGGTCCTATAGCATGCAGCAGGAGAGTAACAACTGTCCGGAGAGATCCCTTTAAACACGTGTCTCAAAGGAGCTCCAGCCCCCGCCCCCGGAAAGGGCTGGTGCCCTTTTACCCTCTTCAAAATGATTCCAGGCTTCTGCTTTTGCGCAAAAGCGTCCCGCCAATGTAGACGCACTTTTGCGCAAAAGCACATCGTTATAACAATAACTCTAGGACCAATCTAGACGCGCTTTTGCGGAAATACTTTTAACGGAAAACCTTTTCCGTTAAAAGTATTTCCTCAAAATCATGCCAGTCTAGACGCAGCCCAAGAGTGTAAATTAGATTATGGGGTGGTTAAAAAGAATTTGGCACTATAGGTTTTAGATTCAAAAGCAGAATCTGCCAATGTGTAGAGCAATATATAAACACTGCATTGCCTTCACTTCGGAATTCTGGTTTTCTGCTTTCTGTCTTCATGACAAGAACAAGGGGAGAGGATAAAGGGAAAACCCTCTTATATGAATCTCCTCAGTCCATTTTGACCACTGTTCCAAAACACTGAGTAAATTCTCTCTGGAGCCAGACAAGGATCAATGCACTTTGCTTTCCCAGAGATTCATTAAGCCCTGTTTGCTTTTTTCTTTTATGATGTCAGAAGGTTCTTCCTTTCCTTTTAAGGAAGCTCTACCTACTCTATTTTTTGGCTTACAAAGGCATTAGACTTCCTCTTAAAAGAGCAGGTCAGGAATTGTGGCTTTACTCTGTGTTTTTACCTCAGGATCACAGAATGTGCTACATATGGGGAAAAGAAAACTTTATCAAGAAAGGAGTGTTTCGGCTGTTTCGGCATATAGGCAAAGATTAGAACATCAAGGTTCAAGGCCAGATGCATATTTCTTCTTTTTCTCATCATTTACATCTTCTTTGTTATATTAATATTTTTATCATAAGGTGTTAACACCCGATTACAATAAAAACACTAGGTGTGATGCCATCACTGCTGCTGGAGATTATTTTGATGGAAATGTTAGTATTTCATTACAAGAATGGTGACAAATTGTCTTGAATGGAAAACAAAATAAGTATGCTTTATAAACATATGTTTAAACCCCTTGGCAAAGTTATTTAAATGTATCTCTCAATTTTCATTGACCATTCACATATATATAAAACATTATTTATTTTACCGCAGAGTAACTTAAACTTATGTACCACTCAATGTGTACCTCTTCCTTATTTTAGAAATCCCATGCTATATTCAAATAAATGGTTAGGTTTTAAATTTATTAAAATAGTAATTTGATTAGTCATTATCAGGGTATTATGGAAAGGGACATGCAAATATTTTTTCCATAGACTAGACATTGAGTAATAGGATAGATGTCCAGTCAGAACCTTCATGAAATGGCCTGGCTATAGTTGAACAACAGGCGAAACTCAATTTTCATCCTGCACTGAAAGGATCAATTTGGTATATACATGAGCCAGACATTAATAGTCTTCTAAACCAAGCCTTCTGAATTGATGTCTTCTGAACCAAGTCTTCTCAAAAGTTATTAAAAGTGAGCAAAAAATTAATTAATGATGAAAAGTCATTTAGCTCCTTCTGTTATTTATTACCTGATTGTATTGGCAATTGAATTATCAGCAGGAGTTGTTGCAAATGGATTTATTGTTGGTTTGAATTGTATTGATTGGGCCAAAAGCAGAACACTGACTTCCTATGATATAATCATAACCAGTCTGGCTTTCTCCAGATTTTGCCTACAATTCTTGGTGACAATAGACAATTTCTTCTCTATGTTATTCCCAAATTTTTTTGATATATTTGAAAGGCTACATTCTTATCTAGTTACCTGGATGTTCATAAACCAAGTGAGTCTCTGTTTTGCAACCTGCCTTTCTGTGTTCTACTGTTTGAAGATTGCCACTTTGAACCAGTCCCTCTTCAGATGGTTAAAATTAAGAATCTCCAAACTGACGCCATGGCTGCTTTTGGGCTCTTTGCTGTACTGCTTGGTTACCACAGTGTGTTTTACATTCTTCAGCTATTCTTATTCGGTATCCTTTTACAACTTCACAGATAATAGCACAATGTCCTACAACAGAAAGAAAGCTATGGAATTCACCTTTCTGGTGCACAGCATAGGATCTATCTTGCCCCTTATCATATTTATTGCTTCCTCTGTTTTGTTGTTCCTATCCCTTTGGAAACATATCAGGAAAATGAACTTTAATTTAGACTTTATTCCAAGTTTCAGGAACCCCAGTATGGAGTCTCATGTGCGTGCACTTAAATCTGTGCTGTCCTTCTTCATCCTCTACAATATTTATTATGCAGCTTCAACATTCTCAATAGGATACATACCCTGTTTCAGTGAGAAATGGAAGGCTATGTTCTGGACAGTTTTAGCTGCTGCTTACCCTTCTGTGCACTCCATTATCTTGATTCTGGGAAACGCCAAATTAAAATTGTCCTCCTCAAAAATTCTGTATTGTACCAATTCCTGTTTCAGACAGGTTACGTCATAGTATCTGTTCTTATGCTCATGGATCAAGAATGTTCACCACGTTTCTGCAGTAGTGGAAAAATATTCTTTTTCCCCTTTTTTCTATATTGTCCAGTATATTATCCATCTGAAATCTTTTTTATTGCGATCGTACAGAAAGCCACTGCCAATTTCAAAGATTATTTTCAAATTCACCACCAGTTCCCACTCAAACTCTTCCATTGGCTGTGAATCCTTTCCTGCAGCAGCACTGCTATCCTTTTAAGGACAGACTGCTCGTTTTATCAGACATTCAATGGTGATATAGGATTAAGGAAAACAGGATGAGATTAGCAAATTTTCACATGATGTATTCGGATAGGACTGAACTTTGGTCTCCACTGGGGAATGACATTTCTGTTTATAAATAAATAAACTAGCCAGAAATGAGATGATGTGGAAAGTGCAACCCATGCGTGGATTGCTCATGCCTGTCTTATGGAAGAAAGGACTGCCTAGTGGGATTTAATATAAAAGGCCAGTCAATTACAGGTTGCTGTCCCCCAGCACCTAGGACAGTTATTTGGGTGATAAGGCTTAGTTAGAATCTAGCCCCAAATTACTATCGCTTCCTCCTTTTAATAAGTAACTGTGTCATCATCCGATTTGCAGTGAAAGGCTGCAATGGAAACACAAGTATGAAATTGGTAGTCTCACAGGGTATGTCTACACTACCCCGCTAGTTTGCATACCGAACGTGCAAATGAAGCCCGGGATTTGAATTTCCCAGGCTTTATTTGCATAAGCCGGCCGGCGCCATTTTTAAATGCCGGCTTGTTCGAACCCCGTGCCGCGCGGGAGTAACATTCATGAGGAGTAACATTAGTTCAGACTAAGGGCTTTAGTCCGATCTAACACATCCCGGCGCGCACTTCCTGGTTCGAATCAGCTGTGATTCGAACTAGCGCGCCGGTGAGATCATGTTAATGGAGCGCGGGATATTTAAATCCCTGCTTCATTAACTACTTCGGTTGTCTCCATTTGCATCCCTAGTTCGAACTAGGGATGCAGTGTAGACGTACCCTTAGTCTGTGTGATGTAGTGTTGGTACCTTGCTGGTTGCTAGGCTTGGGCTGGGGGTGACCCCCACTGGCTGCTGTCTGTACCAGTGCCCAGCAGAGTAGCTGATGGGACAGGGAGGTAACCTGTTCTACTGGTTACCTCTCAGGGAAAGGAACAAAGGAAGGAAGGAAGGCGGAATGCAGCCCCTGGCTGGGGGGCAGGGCTGGAAGCTGGGCAGTTTCGGTCTGGAATCATGGAGAAAGCAGCCTAAGCAGGGTGCTGGGCCCAGTCTCCCCCATCTCAAGGGGGGCTGAGGCATCCTAGGCCTGGCCCTGTAACCAGATGCTGTGCTGTATCCTGGAAAAGCAATAAACTCCCTCTATTCTACTGGCTGGTAGTGTCTGTTCGTGCCACTGCGGGGGTGCAGGAAGCAGGGGAACCCCGACGCGATGTCACAGTCTGTAACTAGAAAAACTTAAAAAACAATGAATAGTCTTGCAGCATGTTGGAGACTAACAAAACACATAGATGGCATCATGAGCTTTCATGAAGAAGTTGTGCCCACGAAAGCTCATAATACCATCTACTTTTTTTGAAATAACAGTTGTAGGGGCCACATTTTTAAAAGGACATCCATCCTTTTTTGAGAGGTTCTTTGGACCCTGAATTCACCTGTACAAATCTGAGTAGCTTCACTCAAAGAAGGAAACCGAATCTCAGCTCTTTGAAAGTCACCCTGATACTCTAAAGTCTATGCTTGATCCATATATAATTTCAAGATAACATAGCCATGCAGTAAATTATGCAAATAATATATTAATTACTTCTATCTAGTGAATTTCTTGGTAATTTAGCAAGAAGCTTGAACATAAGGTATGAATAGTTAGTATTGATAACATTGCAATGCTTTATAGTTAAGGGAATGTAAATATAAATGCGTAGGCTGGAAAGGATTGTTCAAGATCATTGTCTGGAAAAAAAGATTTTCATAGATGATTTAAATAATAAAAATACATTTTTGTCAATATTGTGGCTAAGATGTTTATGTTTGTAATTCAAGGAGTTTGCAGGATACACAGTGATATTGAACCCAACTGAAAAAGAAGAATCCTCTTTTGAAAAGGACCCAGCACTAGCATATAGCCCTTAGGCAAAAATATTACAGATGACTGAAAAATGGTGACACTGTTTATGAAAAAAATTGCAATAGTTAGTTACAATTTAAATAAGGAAAGAGATCAGTCTACAAAAATTGGTATTTTCTGAGCTTTGGCCAGGGTAATTTGAGATGCATGTGACAGTTTGGAAAATATGTCAGCTTGTGAATTCTTTCCTCTTTTTAGGAATAACATTATTGTAACTTTCAGTGGATTAGTACCTCAATTTGGTAGCAAGACTCAGGCACCCGTGCTCAGGAATGTGCAGCAAAGCAAACCTTATTCCTGCCATTGAAGAATATCCAGCTACTTGACAAATAAAGCTTTTCAGTTGGGGTTGAGTTTTTTTGTTTTTTTGGGGGGGTTGTTTTTGTTTTTTTGGGTTTTTATGGGGGGTGGATTTGGACAGCAAGGTCTTTGAAGCTCCCTTTTCACAGAAACCTGTTTGGGAAGACACAGAATTCTCTGGAAACTGGAAGATCTGTAGTTTCACCAGTGAGCCATCTGACAAAAGAGGGAGAGAGATGGATTTTAAAAGGTGGGCTTCTGTAAGCTCTGTGAGGAGCCCCAAGAATGATAGTCCCAACTGAACATATGGAGACAAGAAGGAAGTAATTTACTTCTCAAAGGACACTGGCCAACCCAAAGTCTCTGAGATCCAATGGGGACTTTGTGGCTATGTCTACACTGCAGCACTATTTCGGGATATCAGAGGTATCCCAAATAGTTATTCCGTGACTTTTGAGCATGCCATTATTTCAAAATATAAGGGGCTCGCTGTTCCTGCATCTCTGTAAACCTCATTCCACAAGGAGTAAGGGACATTTTGCAATAGCAATTTATTTTGAAATAAGCGTTGTGCAGACAGCATCAAATTTGGAAATATGTTATTTTGAAATTATCTCAAAAGAAACTACTCAATTTGCGTAGCTCAAATTGCATAGCTTATTTTGAGCTATGGGTGTAGTGTAGACCCACACCATGAAGGGATTGTATTGATGACATTTTGCATAGATCTGTAAATCTTCTGTGCCAAGAGTACTGTATTTTTAGAAGTTCCTGTTCAAAGCCTGTGTTCCTTAGTTTAGTTGTTATATATATATATATATATATATATATATGAATATTAAACTTACAAATCACAGCAACCACATCCAAGTGGGACATGGCAGGACGGAGAGGAAGAAATGCACATAAAATGCTGGAAATCTTGAAACCAGCATTGGTTTCAACAGATAGTGCAACTGAACGGTGGAGTCACACCTCCCACCTCCCACCGCAAGAACCTAAATAAGAAGAGTAATTGTGCCTAAAAAGTCATAACTAGAGACAATATCTGGGCCCTGTCCAAACCCATATGGTTGGAAGCAAATGGGTTCCAAAAGCAGGGTACAAAATAACAGAGGGTATGTCTACACTACAGCGCTCATTCGAACTAACTTAGTTCGAATTAGTTAATTCGAACTAAGCTAATTCGAACTAATTCATCCAGACTAAAAATCCAGTTTCACATTAAGTGGACCCTGAAGCGAGGTTAAGGATGGCCGGAAGCAGTGCCGGCAGGGCAGCAGAGGAGGACTTAGAGCGTGGAGATGCTTTCTCAGGCTAGCCGAGGGCTGTGCTTAAAGGGTCCCGACCCCCACCCTGGACAGACAGTTCTCAAGGGTGCCCCTCTTGCAAAGCAGTCCTGGCTTGGAGTGCCCTGAGTGCCCACACTAGGCACATCACAGCACTCAGCCATCAGCCCGGCTGCACTTGCCTCAGGCTGCCATCCAGGGGGGCGGGGCACGGAGTCCGAACTAGCGGACATTTAAAAATGGCAGCGCCCGGCAAGATGCAAATGAAGCCCTGGAAATTCAAATCACGGGCTTCATTTGCAACTTTGGTTGCCTACATTAACCACTCTAGTTTGAACTAGGGTGGTAGTGTAGACATACCCATATAGACCTGCCCTTTCTGTGTGAATGTGGGCAAACCATTGAACATAATATATAAATCTATGTAAATACAAATCTTTTTAAGCAGAAGGGTTTTCTTATTGAACATCTTATTCAGAACAGGAAAACTTGGGAGTGGGGTGCAGGAGGGCCCCGAGAACTTAAAAGGACACTCAAAAGGCATTTGTAATGATGAGGCCACTGGAGTGAAATGACCTTTATATGGAGGTGTTTTGTTATTTTTGACTGTATCTATAAATCTTAACGCTTTGTCTATGAGTAAAATGTGTCTGGTTTAAAAGATCTTTTGCAAAACCTGTGCATTTTTTATTTAACTGACAGGCGTTTTCCTAGAAAATGATGAAAACTAGATTTCTGTGATGGGATATGCAAACCTCACACTGGGCAAGGGTTTAATGAGAGCCTGAGGGCTCAGTCAGTCTTCCTGTGATATACCTGTAGTAGGTCTCAAGCCTGGAGACAGAAGCTAAAAGGAAAGAGAGCACAACACTGGCCCTCACTTGAAGACAGAAGTCTGGTTGGAACCAGGGAGCAGAGTTGTTTGGCTGACAGACAGAGCTTCCTTGTTTACAACTAGGAGTGCAAGGCAAAAGCTGGAAGAAATGAGTCTGTCAGGATTCTGTGCACTGATAGGCTATGTCTAGCTTACATCCCTCTTTCAAAAGAGGGATGTAAATTAGACATATTGAAATTGCAAATGAAGCCAGGATTTGAATTTCCCACACTTCATTTGCAAAAGTGAAATGGCCATCCAGACATGGTTCTTTTGAGGAAAAAACCCTTTTTCGAAAGATCCTGTAAACCTCATTTTTTGAGGAGTACTGGATCCTTTGAAAAAGGTTTTTTTGGGTTTTTTTTTTGAAAGA